ACCTCCCTCCGCCGCATCCGCCGCCTCGAAACCCTCTGGGACGATGATCCTCGCTTCATTAACGCCGCCAAAGGCCGTGCCTTTGTCGCTCGAAACCTTCTTCTTGAATGTGAGATCAAGAATCACAAGAACACCCTAATCCGAGCCGGGTATGGCGGTTGGCTCCTTTACACTGCTGCCTCAGCCGGGGATGTGCCCTTTGTTAAGGAGCTGTTGCGGAGAGACCCACTTCTTGTTTTCGGAGAAGGAGAGTATGGGGTAACTGATATATTGTATGCGGCGGCGAGGAGTAAGAGTTTGGAGGTTTTCAGGGTTTTGTTTGAGTGTGCAGTGAAGCCTAGTAAAAGTTTGGGGGTTGGAGGAGGAGGAGGAGAGATTGAAGAGGAGGGGGTTTGTAAAGGTGGGAATTTGGCGCTTTTTCGATGGGAGATGGTGAATAGGGCTGTCCATGCTGCGGCGAGAGGGGGTAATTTGGGTATTTTGAAGGAGATTTTGGATAGTGAAGGTGGCGATGTGTTGGAGTATAGAGATGTTCAGGGGTCCACTATCTTGCATGCGGCTTCAGGGAGAGGGCAAGTTGAGGTGAGGATGGTGATTTGGTTTAATTTAGGTTTACAATTTTCTTTTTAAGTGGTTGATGTTTATATGAGCTTTCAATTTTACGCAATCGAATGTTTTACACTTGCATGAAGATTTCAAGTACATGTTTGGCTATAGAATATGCTATGGTTACATGAAAATGTTCATTCATGCGTTAGGATTTAGGAATATGCATAGGTGGTGTTCTTATTGAGTTATAGATGTAGATGAGCTTTCAATTTTATGCAATTTGAGTGTTTTATACTTGGGAGGAAGCTTTTCAGACGCGTGTTTAGATTAGTAGTAAGCATGAGTTGTTTGCTTCTCGAGATAGATGAATGAGGTTGTGCTTTCAATCTTATGAAATTGAATGATTTCTGCTTGAAGGTTGCTTTCATATTAACTAGATTTCGACAAACAGACTTAATCGTGCATGCTCTTATTGATTGTTGCTGCGGTGTTAAACCACATCGTGGGTTTGAAACGCTAAAATTTTGTATGAAACATTTTATCCAGATTCTAGGTAAAATCCTGAGTACTTTTATGATCAATAAGTTCAAAACCCGCACCATAAACAACAATAATAATAATAATAATTCCTCCTTGAATGCCTAAAAAAATGCATCAAATACATGAAAAGGCTTTTGAAACACCCCAACTCTAACATGTATTGGAGAAAATTTGGCACTTATTGAAAGCAATCTCTTGATCTTACGAGCACGATCTGAGATTAGCTCCTCCTCGTCGAAAGTAGTTTGCGCGTGAGAGTTTTTATACATGAACAATGTCAACTTCAATTTCCCTCTCGTGGATCTCCTTTTTGCACATCCGATTTCTTAATGCTAGTTTCCTATATTCAAACTTTCTTAGTTGCATTAGATCTAAATCTTGAATATGCTAATCAGAGAAATGCACGATAAGCCCGCACATTGTCAAGACCTAAAGACGCATCTCTCTGTTGATGCTAGTAACTCTTGTGTCTATTCTGCAGGTAGTCAAATACTTGGCTTCATCATTCAACATAATCAACTCCAGAGACAATCATGGCAACATTGCCCTCCACATTGCGGCCTTCCGAGGCCACTTATCGATTGTTGAAGTCTTGATCATTGCATCTCCAACATCCTCATCCACGACCAACAATTCCGGTGACACTCTTCTCCACATGGCAGTCGCCGGTTTCAGAACCCCCGGGTTCCGGCGCCTCGATCGTCAGATGGAGCTCATGAGACATCTCATTAGTAGCAGCGCCGTAAATATAGAAGATATCATTAACATTAAGAATTCTGAAGGAAGAACTGCTCTCCATGTCGCGGTGATTGGCAACATGCATTATGACCTCGTTGAGCTTCTGATGACCGCAAAATCGATTAATGTTAACATTAGAGATATTAATGGGATGACCCCGTTGGATTTATTGAGCCAACGCCCTCGATCTGCATCATCCGAGATACTAATAAAACAGTTGGTTTCAGCTGGAGGGATTTTCAGTGCTAGAGATCCCAATGCAATATCAGCAATTGCTTCTCAACTGAGAATGCAAAGTATTGGTAGCAGTCCAGGGACAAACTTCAAGGTTTCTGACGCCGAGATATTCTTGTACACGGGCATCGAGCTATCGGAGCCTAGTGGGAGGCCAAGCTCGTGCTCGAGCTCTGCCAGGAGCGAGGTTGGTCAAAACGGGGAAGTCCCTTCTGATAGGAAGCAAAACTCAGTTAACCGAGCAGCCAGTAAGATCAAGATTCTCCTCAGATGGTCTCGGCAAAAGGAGAAGAAGAGGGAAACAACACCCATGAAGTTAAGAAGTGAGGACTCACTCGAATCAATCAAGAAGGGAGAAATTACACCAAAGAAGTTAAGGGACGACGTCTCGATGGAGTCTCTCAAGAAATGGAGCGAGCGCGAAGACACCCCGACTCCTCTAAGGCAACGGTTCTCAAAAACATCGCTCTTGAATAGCAAGCGAACGCTCGCTGTCAGGAACTCGATGCCAAGCCCCGCGACAAAGAAGAAATTCACTACGGGGCTGATGCAGGGGGTGATTCAAGCAATGCCTCATCTAGATCCTTCGTCACGAGCAACACCCTCCGATTCATGCTCAGCCTCGGGGATGTCGACGCCTCCTGTGTTGGAGAAGCAGAAGGAGATCTGTCTGGATGAAGAAATGGGATCGGCCTCTAGTTCATCGGCGACCGGAGGACGAGAGAAGCTACCTCAGAGGCTGGTGGACGGTAAAGCGATGAATCAGTACTTTTGTTTCGGAGCGAAAGGGCTCGCTGTCGAGGGCTCAGTGGGGCAGCGGGCTGGTGGCCGGTCGTTCAAGAGGTCACTAGTTTCAGCAGCTTAGCTTTCGCGATAGGTACGGATTGTCTCGTTTGTTAGTTTTTGTGTACTCGCGTGTGTTTGTTTAGAATGGAAGTGAAGTTACCTACTCTATTGAAACTCTTTTAACTAGTGGCAACTGCCAGAATGGAATGTTAAGTATGTTCGCCCTTTTCATCAGCAAGTATATGTTTATATAAGATCACCATCTCTTTGTTCGTGCGCATGTTACATATCAAAACACCACATAAAGGAACACGGACGCTGCTACAGATTACTGTACCTCTTTACAATAGATTCTTGCTTCCAGCTGATTCTTATTGGTATCAAAATTTCACAACATGCAACCAAACCGAGGGAAAAAGAGTCGAAGCGCATTCACACCCCCATCTCACATCTATTTACTATATACATCAGAGATGGGGAGACAAAACTTACCCCCCTCTACCCACTCTGCTCTCTTCTTCATTGGCTACTCGGTAAAATCTGCGTCAATCACGTCCCTCCGGCCGCCCCTTTATCGTCGGGCCCCAGCCTCGGCTCCGGGCGTGGGTCCCGGCCCGGCTGGCGGACCGGGCTGGCTGTACAGCGACTGCCAAGCTGCATCACTTCCTGTTCAAAGCAGTCATGGCAGCTTTCATCTCTTCGGTTGAGCCGCGTTAGACATGGCGTCCTTGAGCTCGGTAAGCTTGGATTCCACTTTCTCCTTCACGGCGGCAGGGGCTTTGTCGCCGAGCTCTTTCAATTGCTTCTCAGTTTGGTAGACGACAGAGTCTGCTTGGTTCTTGGTGTCGATGGCGTCTCTCCTTTTCTTGTCCTCTGCCGCAAATTTCTCAGCTTCCTTCACCATCCTATCGACCTGCCAACATTTTTTTCTTCTTGTTTTTAGATGAGGAACTCGATTTGATTTTCATGATAAGAATACGATCACTACATCGCAACGATCTACAAGATGTGTTCAGCTATTGGTCTAGATTAGCACTAACTTCCAAGTGTTAAATCGAAAATTTATGATGCTTATGAAGCCCAGTAAGTTTCCTTAAGATTCAGACTAAAACATGAAGAGTATCTAGACCAATAGCTGAACACATGATAAACCTACACGTGACGTCAGAACTTACTGCTGTTAGTTTTAAGATTCCCCTGAGGTACTAACTGGGAGTTAATTGGACTTCACAAACTTATCGGGGGTTTAGTGAAAGACAACCAAAGTTATTTAAGGGTTCCGCATTAAGGCCTCACGCCAAAGGATTAATTTTAAGATTTCCCTGAGAAAGAGTTGATTGGACTTTCCTAACTTATGCACAAGGCCTCACACCAAAGGATATCACAGTTTCATGGTATCACTACTTCGTTAAGAGACTAAAAAGCATACCTCGTCGCTCGGCAACGTGCTGGCTCCAGTAATAGTGATATCTTGCTTCTTCCCGGTTCCCTTGTCCACAGCAGTAACGGAAAGGATACCGTTAGCATCAATATCAAACTTGACCTCAATCTGCGGTACACCTCGAGGAGCTGGAGGAATGCCATCGAGGCGGAAACTTCCTAGGGACTTGTTATCCCTCACAAACTCTCTCTCACCCTGAAGAACATTGATCTCTACGCTTGTCTGACCATCAGCAGCTGTAGAGAAAACCTCCGACTTAGAGGTAGGGAGAGTTGTGTTCCTAGGGATGATCTTCGTCATAACGCCACCCAAGGTCTCCAAACCAAGAGATAAGGGTGTGACATCTAGAAGAACTATGTCGCTGACATCTCCAGCCAATACTCCTGCCTGAAAGAAGATAACAAGAGGCTTGTAAGATAACTAGAGCATAAATAACACTATATTTAGATATAGCCTTCCATGAATAGATTGGCAAAATCATTAAAAGCATCAAATTCCAAGATCCTGACCTGGACCGCAGCGCCGAGAGCAACCACTTCATCAGGGTTGACGGTTACATTGGGATTTTTTCCTGTCATCTTCTTGACAAGTTCTTGAACAGCTGGAATACGTGTTGACCCTCCGACAAGAATAATCTCATCCAGATCCTTGAATGAGAGTTTTGCATCTCTCAGAGCATTGTCAACAGGTGTTTTAAGCCTAAAAGGACACAAAAACAAAATTTTCGATGGTCTAAGTTTAAAAGGTCGGTGCCATGAATAACAAGTGAAACGAGCATCATGAAGTACTACATTTCCCAGTAACCCAAAATAGGAAAACATGTAAATGAATGAACTTATACTGAATATACCTATCAAGAAGATCTGAACAAAGCTCTTCGAATTTAACCCTAGTAAGGGTTGTCTCGATGTGTTTGGGACCATCAGCAGTTGCAGTAATGAATGGTAGACTGCAGAAATTGACTCCCAGATAAGAAAGAGCATCCAAATGATTACAAAATACTAGAAAGAAAAGGAAGCATGCAGAAATTATACCTGATATTAGTTTGAGTCAAGGTTGATAACTCCATTTTCGCTTTCTCTGCGGTCTCTGTGAGCCTCTGAAGGGCTTGCTTATCTTTCAGGAGATCTATTCCTTCATTACTCTTAAAGTCTGCGGCAAGCCAATCAACAATTCTCTACATAGGCATAATTTTTCAGGTTGTCAATGAGAGTTACATTAATGACATCACTAAGTTACATATAAAGTAGGCATTATATGGTAAAATTTACTTGACCAGTCTAATGTTTAGACCCATGCTACAGAGACTCAAAGAAAACCTAAGATTGAAGGCTCGTTATCCCAATAGTTAACTAAGATTTGAGGATCTAAGTACACCATCAACAAATCAGTTCACCAAGTTCACTAGCTAACATACTTAGCAGGACTTAGTATTCGATTCAGTCACCAACCATTTGTACAGTAGTATGTGTTACATACCTTGTCAAAATCATCGCCTCCAAGGTGAGTATCACCAGACGTAGAGAGCACCTCAAACACACCGTCTCCAACTTCAAGAACTGCACCAAATAATATTTTAATGGTAAAAAAATAGCGTGAGAGTCAGAATGAAAAAAATTCAAACTCGACTTGCTCCATTACCTGAAACATCAAAAGTACCACCACCCAAATCAAAGACTAGAATAGTTTCATTGTTTTTCTTCTCAAACCCATATGCCAAGGAAGCTGCAGTGGGCTCATTGATGATGCGAAGAACTTCTAAACCAGCAATTCGACCTGCATCCTTTGTTGCTGTTCTTTGGGAGTCATTAAAGTATGCAGGGACTGTAACAACTGCTTTTGTAACCTTGTCATTTAGAAACTTGGATGCATCATCCACAAGCTTTCTCAAAACCTGTCAACCAAAATGAAACTTCAGTTTCACTGATTCTAAAGAATAACGTCTGAAAATCTATAAAATGCAACCTTAAAATCATAGCGTAAGTTTAACAAGGTAGATCATCAGGCTTCATTGCCGCTCATCAGACTCCAATGGTTTGAATACAGAAAAAATATTACCCCTAGGCCCATTTCAATTGAATTAAAATTTAAAATCTCACAGACCTACAAAAGAATAACCTGTTACAGATATGGTTCCAGAGAGAGATGCTTGGGAATTTGTGGCTAGGTTCAGCAATCTGGGGAATTACTAAAAGGCTAAACGAGTGTGACAAAGTCAACTTATCTATGATGATTAAGAATGTCGCTAGCTGACATTAATTAGCTTGACAACTAATGCTCTCGTTACATAACAGCAGATAGAGAGCTTTCTCAATTAACCCCATGTAATGAGAAAACGTTGGAGAGGAACAATAACGAGAGACACAAAAAGGATAGTTTAACCATACATCTGAATTTTGAGGTAGTAATCTGTTCAAGAGTCTGAGTACTGGTTTTCCACCTAGACAAATTAAGCTAAATCCTTCTAACTCGAGATACATTGATATTCACTACCATTATCCTTACAATCATTCAATTTTGACTAAAAACATCACTAAACTCACAGTTCTCAACCTATCATATAACATAGCATTTAATTTTATGCAAAACAATATCATCTTCTAGAACAATTTATCTGAGCAACAATACTATAGAAATTCCAGTAGTTTACACTTGACGTTTAAGCTAATTCCTGATGACTTAGTATAGCCAGTGATAACAATCCTATGCAAAAAGAACGCCATGTTCCTACATTGTTGACCTGCAACTTCATGTTAGAGTATAAAAATATAACTCTTACCTCTCACTCCAACTTTGGAGCTCTGGTGTAATAGTTAGAGGGACTTTAACATAGTATAACAACAACCCAGATTTAAATCCCACCAGTTATAAATTTAAAACTGATTGTCTAAAAGTTGGCGCTGCTACATGTTTCAACCCATAAACGGGGCAAGTGGCATTTTAGAATATAAAAATATAACCCTAATTCTCACTAAGTTTTGGAATAATAATTGGAGGGACTTTAACACCTTTTTTGGATGGAGGTTAATACATAGAAGTTAAAGTGAAATTTTACCTTGTCTGAGAGTTTTTTTGAGGGGTTAGAGGATGTGATGGAAGGTTAAATTTCCTTCCATTTTCCTCCCCTCTAATTTGAGGGTAAAAGAATAGAAATCAATGTAAAATTTTACAATGTGGTAAGATAATTTTGATATTAAAATCAACGGCTAATACATACTCACATTCAATATGTTATGACATTTATGTAACTTTATACATATTCACTTCACTTCCCTCCTTTTTATTAGAACTCTCAAACACGGTAAAATAAATTTACTTCTCTTACTAAACTCCCAAACAACATTTTATCTTTTTTACTTTCATTCCCTACATTTCCTTTCCATTATTTAACTTTCCGTATGGTAAACTCCCAAACAAAAACAAAGCACAAGACTTCTCCCTCATTTATATGCACGATGATAAACATCTATTCATCTCCTATTAACAGTCAAACTTCATTCTTTCAATTTAATTTGCATATCAAGATAGGCCATGTATCAAAATTCAAACAAGTGAACGAAATTGCACCTGCGCCGAGATCTCCTCAGCAGCGAACTGCTTCCCAATGGCCGGGCACTCGAGCTTCACATTCCCATTCTCATCCCTCACAACCCTATAACTAACCTGCTTCGCCTCCTCGTCGACCTCCGACATCTTCCTCCCAATAAACCGCTTCACGCGAGAAGAACGTGTTCTCGGGTTCACCACCGCCTGCCTCTCGCAATCTGCCCCACGAGGCCGGTCGCCGTTCTTGTGTAGGCCCACGACGAGGGCGTCGTCCGCTGGCCCTGCGCGTTGGTGACGATCGTCGGCTTGCCGCCTTCCATGGCGGCGACGGCGGAGTTGGTGGTGCCGCAGGTCGATTCCGACGACCTTCTCGCTGGCGACGCGGAGGGGGCGGTAGCAGCTCGCCGCGGCGGGGACGAGGCGGAGGGAGGAGGGGCGGAGGGTGGCGCCGCGAAGAGGAGGGATCTGGAGGAGGAGAAGGCGTGATTTGAGCGGCGGGGCGGCGGCGGTCGCCAATCGAGTCGAGAAACCCTAACCTACTGGCTTCTTGATCGCCTGGTCTCGGTGCTGGTGATGGAATGCGGTTTGGTTGGCCGCTGGGCGAAGGAATCCGAGGGAATTGGGGGGGAGGTTTAAGGACACGTGGAAGGTTCTGGAAGGGTTCGGAAGATTGGAGGAGCGTTTTCGAGCGGTTTCTTTCGTTTGGAGTTTTCGCGGGGGACAATTATTATTTACAAAAAAGAAAAAAAAAAGGAAATTGGAGGAATTTTAATGAGCGGATCGAGTTTAGGGGTTGGTGTCGTTTTCGGTTGGCGAAGGAGGATGGGTGCAGGCCTAGTATGGCCCACCTCAAGCCCGTTAGAAAATCCTAGAATCAAGCCCACCTCGGCAGCCTTTTTTATTGGGCCATACTCCATGACGTAGCGACGACTGTAGTATAAAAATTAGGACAAATTTTCAAAACCGATCCATTTGGGTTTTTAATTGCAAAAAACGATCGGTTTTGAAAATATTTACAAAAACCGACCTGTTTTTAGCCAGGGGCTGAAAACAGGTCGGTTTTTTTAAATTTTTTCGGGAAACTTCACGGGAGTTGAACTCCCGTGAAGTTTTTTCTCATAATAAAACTTCACGGGAGTTGAACTCCCGTGAAGTTTGGGAAAAAAAATTTCAAAAACCGACCCAGTTTCAAACAACTGGGTCGGTTTTTATAATTAAAATTAAAATAGGTCGTTTTTTGCAATTAAAAACCCAAATGGGTCGGTTTTGAAAATTTGTCCATAAAAATTATACTGCTTTTATACTATTAGTACACTTAATTATGTCCTTAATTAGTATAGGCTACAATACCATATTGGCATTTTATATGGACCATAATTGACAATAGAGTATTTTAAATAACTCCGACTATACAATGAGACCTTATAATTATTCAAAAGAAACAAAAAGATCCATAATTTTCATCGGAAATCAATTTTTCCGCCAAGTTCCCTAACATGCGTGTTGCTGATCATTGTAGGCTGAGTTGGACAATAGGGAATGATGTGGCATAAGGGTTGGAGGGAGAAATACCTACGCCTAAAATCTCATCACCCCAAAATTAGCCAAATTTAACATTTTTTTTTCAAAACTTTAACGAGAGAGGGAGCAGTTGGAGGAGAGCTTTTGCGAGAATCTCTTTGATCTCGAATGTGACTCGAGAGAAGGGAGAACCTCTGGTGAGGACGACGACTAGAGTATGGCGTGGACCAGGAGCAAATGTGAGGTTCCTCTCAAACTTTTGAGAGATTTCTTGTGGGTTTGGCTTTTTTGGAGAAGAATGATTAATATTAATGATAAACCCTAATTGGGTGTGTTGTGCGCAGCTGACCTCCACATTCACAGGGTGTTGATTGGTGGAATTTTGTAAACTAGGGGCAAGTCCCTACAACATCAGCAAGAGTAAACGATTTTAGAAATCATGTGCAAGCACGGGGGGAAACTTGGTTGAAAAATTAATATCCGATGAAAATTATGGGTCTTGTTGTTTCTTTTAAACAATTATAAAGTCTTATTATACCCGGAGCCATTTAAAATACCATATTGTCATTTAGGGTCCGATTAAAATGTCAATATGTTATTTTAGATATTAAAACTTATTTTTTTTATTTTCGATATTAAAAAGGACACAATCATAGGTTAGATTCTAAAAACTGGAAAAGTTATATGTTAATAAACATTCACTTGTTAATTTTCTGTGATGAGAAGAAAGCTACTTATTTTTTTGAATAAATTCTCATATTTTTTTTAAATTTTCTCTTCTATGTTATATTGAGCTATTTTTTTCATAGAAATTTTGAAGGATAATAAGTTAATGATATGTGCTATGTACTTTATTTTTTGTATGGTTGAAAAATAACTATGAACATTGTCTAAAGCGCTCGTACGAAAGTTTTTTTTGTATACTAAATGTGGATGAATGTAACCTTGAGATCTGATGAAAATTAGTATGATCCAAAATTCAAGGAAAAAAAATGGCCGGCACTCACATATGTCGAATTGATCACTACTATCCTTAGGTTTTCATTATTATTATTATTTTTGGTTCAAGTCACACTCTTCATACAGTTCACATAGTTTGTTTGGAGCTTGTGAATGTACTCCTCGCAAATCAAATGTTGAGCCCACTAACTTACATATATTTCTTTGGGAAAAATTTACAAAATATACCTATTTTGCTAAATATTTAGCAAAACAGACCGTTTTACTAAATATTTAGCAAAATAAACATCTTTTTGGTCTGTTGACCATAAAGAGGTCGATTTTGCTAAACATAACATTCGAAACATACGAGACTAGTAGTCCCGTATGATTTAGTCCACCATTAAATCGACCTCTTTTTGGCCTGTTGGCTAAAAAGATGTCTATTTTGCTAAATATTTAGCAAAACGATCTGTTTTGCTAAATATTTAGCAAAAGAGGTCTATTTTGCAAATTTCTTCATTTCTTTGTCAAGGATCAAAATATTGTTCCGTGTCCTTTTCAAATGATGGGGCTTTTCGATCCTTGTCAAAACCAAATATTAGGTCGTACATAACATAAAATAATTATATGTAAGTTTGGAATACACTAATTAATCCTCTACTCATACACTTAAATAGTGTAAATTCTATTAACCCTCATCAATTCGGGGGCTTTTGCACATAACCTCACTCAAGTTTGCTTACTCCACTTAACACCCTCTAAACTTTTACATGTCTCACTTAACCCCCTCTCCTCTTAGACTTTGAAGTTTATTCCCAACTCATCCCATGACTCGTTACCTGTTAATGGTGAAAAATGACCAATATGCACTTTTTAGGATAATCCCAGAAAAGAAGAAAATAAAGCATACTTTTCAATAATTGCGGGGTATTTCAGTCTTTGGTGTCACATACAGTGTCAAAGTGAGCTGTGTAACCTGTGTTACTTGGGGGTTTGATGAGACAAGTTAAGAGAGTTTAAGTGGAGTAAACAACGTTTAGCAGGGGGTTATCTGCAAAAACGCCCCAAATTTCAGGGGGGTTAAGTGAAACTTACCCACATTAACACATTATCTCTGATAAATTCAATGAATGTATAGCATGCACAAACTGTGCAATTGCTATCACAGTATCTCATTCAATGTATAATATTATTTCACAAGATAAGCACTTTCCTATATCTATACTATTTATAGAAGATAATACTCGTGTCAAAACTTTTGATATCCTTTTTACACCTTTCCAAATTTTGATAATTCATAATTATTATACCATTATTTATAAAATTAATGATCTATAACCTCTTATTAATTATGCACCTCTTCATTTTCCCAAAATATTTGGTCATTCACTAGAATATGTTAACAATTTATAATAGTAATAAAATTTAAGAAATATATTATAAATTATTATAAAGAATTACTAATTATAATAAAATAGTAATAATAATTATTTAATAAATTATTTTTATAATTATAATTATTAATAATATTATAAATAAATTTATAAAATATTAAAAATTATTGTCATTATTTAATAAATGTTATAATAAAATATTGGAAAAAATGTGTCAATGCCCCAAAAACAAAGACCTCATGTGGCACAGCCCCATGAAGTTTTTCCCATGTGCTTTAAACCCCAAAAGACCCAATAATTTATGATCAAGCCCTTCTTCACACTCTCCCAAAAATTAACTCAAACAAATTTCGTAAATACCCTCTCCCCTTTTCTTCTTCTTCTTGTCTGTGCATTTCTCCTCGTACTCTCCCCTAACTGCTCATTTCACTTCTTCTTCTCTCCTCCTCCTCTCCCCTAACCCTCTCTTCCTCTCTCTCTCTCTCT